GGGGGAGGGGGGTGGGAATTAATGATCAGCAATCTAATACTCGGGAATTTGATTAAATTTTTGATTATTTCAGGCGAGCTCGACAAGCCTTGGAATCTCGGGTTTGAAGTTTATCGGCGAGGTTATCCAACTCAACACCGCCACAGCACATGGAACTTCACTCGGTATGTGGTTAATCATTTATTTTCATACTAAGTATGCACCTGAACCCGGGGGTCTTATTAAGTGTTTAATGCGGTATTAACGAGACGGTATTAATTACATGAGAATCCTATGATGCCAAAATGCTTGCTTATTTATTTTGTGAATGTAGAGGTAGTCCGTACCCAAACAATTGCCCTCGTCGACCCACCCCACTTTGGCCGAACCCGTTTCGAGGCCGGTCCCTCGTTGTTTACCTATTATCCTGGAGAAAGTCACCTTCTATCGAATGCGTCCCCTCCTTCAGCTGCGCTAGAAGACGATTCAAATGACTGGGAACCGGTTGTCGGACCATTGGTCATTGCAGAGCCCTTCGATGCTTGCTCACCTGTGTATGCTGACGGCTTCGTAATGGCGAATGATAAGCTCCATTCAGATCTTGTTGATCCACCGTCTTCAGAAAAGGAAGGAGAATCGCCAAAACGACTGTTGAAAGACGCGATTGTTTTGGTGCGGCGTGGAGGATGTTTGTTCATGGATAAGGCGAAGAATATCCAACGAGTGAGACATTGGCATTATTTTATACTTTACCCATGTTACAGAGATGATTTCAATCAATCCACGTAAGCATTCTATTGTTGATAAATTTTGTGTGAAGTATCTAAATCGGTTTAGCTAAGTAGGGGCAGATAAGTGTTTATGAATAAAAGTCTTTATGCTTCAATATAAACCACGAATTTAGTTTTTTCCTCATGACCAGTCGCCCAGAAACCAACATCTAACTAAATCAATTAAGAAGTTTACCAAACTCTCCTTTGATTGGCTCTTTAAAGGTCAAAGAGCGCTCAGTTCATAATTTCGCAAATTGTTGCTGCTCTTATCCAAAACTGAAAACTAAGCTGCCTGCTGATTAGGATTGCAAGTGATTATAAGTATTTCATCTTTTCCACACTCACACACTTATTTTTCTGAATAAAAGGCTTCTGTCAATCATTATTTACAGAGGCTATTAATATTATGCTATTCTATAGTCATGAGATTGTTTTTAGTTTCATATCAGTTTTATTACTTTTTTATTAATAATTATTAAGAATTCTCCATTTGAGTGGCGTGCCAGGTAAACGCAGCTTCAGTCAACACTCGTTTTAGTGAAAGGAGTATCGTCTTGAGGTTTGGGAGAGTGAAAACTTGGTTCACAAATTAAGTAATTAGTGAAAAATGAATTCTGGTAGGACTATTTGGTGAATAAAGGTGTTGTTTATTTGACCTTGAAACTTTTCGCTCTATTTGCCATCTCAACTACTTGAAGAAGGTCATTTGAGGTCTTTGCTTCTACCTGTGAGTAAAATTCACCCAGTTTCTGAACTTGGCGCTTTCCTGAATATGCTAGCCTTTTTTGGATATCTTCACGTGGAGAAATAGTCACAAAACTGTTCGAACAAACGAATTCTAGAAGATTTGGTATTTGTAATCTGGAATTATTATTCGGCTACAGGGTACTATTTTTCGCTCATCTCGTATTTCAAGTAGTAATCGGTCATTACTCCCGTATATCGATTTGGCTCATTTTCATGTCATCTTTACCATAGCCTATGTTGAGACAGCCTAGGTCATCACTTCACAAGATGTAGATTGGGGGAGGGGGAGCGGGGCGGGGCGGGACTTTGCTTCGAGTAATCTATTGGTTACAGAGAGAAAGCTCGGGTGAATGAGATATGGTCGTGTGGATTTATCTAGGGGGTTCGTGTAGATCAAATGATATCAATCTCTTCTCCATCATAATACTACTCAAGGAGATTTATCCAGGGGGTTAAATCGTCGCATTAATTGGGCTGGAGCTATTCCACAACTTTCATTTATCTGAGTTTAATATTAGGCAAAACGGCTACGGAAGCAACAGATGGGACGTTCTAAGCTAACCCCCCCCCCTCCATACCTTGCTGTAATTAATAAGAAAACCGGGAGGTGGGGGATGGGGGAGGGGGTGGACTTTAACTGGAGAAAAGTTTTGTAGGCGTGGTGGTTACGGCTTCATCCCTTGTTTTTCAGTGGTGGGGTGGCTATCTTCTCCTGTTTTCAGCTCTTTTTTGTTGCTTTTTCAAATTTTGCCTTGTTGATTAAAAGATTGCCGTCTTCTGTGTCTTCGCAGTGAAGTCATTTCATTGATACATCTTTCCGCGGGCTCTCTTTCTTGTTTTCGTTGTTTTCCTTATATTTAAACTTGAGAGTGTGCAAGATGGTATTGAATTCGCCTTTGCAGATGGGTGCGCGAGGTATAATAGTGATCGACAACACTGCGGGATCGACTTCGGCCAGAGAAAAACTCTTCCACATGTCGGGCGATTCTCCCGACGGAAAACCTCCGAAGGAGCGCCTACAACTTCCCTTTGTCTTCCTCTTCCACGAAGAAGGTCGGACCCTCGTCTCCGCCATGGAGCGAAGGTGGATGTCGGAGAAGAAGCCTGTCACTGTGTTGATCGCCAAACGCGAGGATAGCCCGAGTAAGGGCTATTTAACTTCTTGGTTATTTAAAAAACATTATCCTTTCTAGAAATTTACTAGTTATAATTAACCATCTCAGAATAACCAGACAAATGAAGTAAACACAGTTTGGGATCATAAGTCAGTTAATAGACTTTTAGAAAGTAGACCTGACGTTGGATATTGATATGGAAATGAGGTGACGCTAAAGTTTTTTCCAAAAGGAGTCACCTGGTTAGAATAGCTCTGGACACGATAAGAGCAAAATTGGATCCAACTTAACCAATTTTAGAAAAGATTTGGTTGCTCTTTGAATTATTCATCTGAAGCGTCTTCTTCCATCGAACGCGGGACAGTGGCCAATCGGCAAGTCTGCTCAATTATTAGGTTGGCAACTAAGCCATTGCCGATTTCAAATAAGAAGGCAAATTCGGAATTTTTGTTTAAAAATATAACTTTATTCAATTAGATATTGGCCGTTCTTGTCGATGACCTTGTTCCATCGTTCTGGCAGAGTAAAAATTCCCCGTTCGTAAAATGTCTGGTCTTTGCTATTAAAAAACTGAATTAGGTGTGATCCGACATCATCCGCGTTGTTAAAAATTTGACCATTTAAAGAGTTTTGCATGGAACGAAACAAATGGTAATCCGAAGGCGCAAGGTCAGGGCAGGGCTATATGGTGGGTGTGACAAAACATCCCAACCCAGTTCAAATAATTTTTGCCGAGTAACCAAAGATGTGTGGGGCCTTGCGTTATCATGATGGAAACAAACACCCTTCCGCCGATTTGATAATGCCGGCCGCTTATCTTCAATTGCATCCTTCAGTTTTTCGAGTTCTTCAACATACACATTTGCATATATCGTTCGGTTCTGCGGCATGAGTTCAAAATACAAAATTCCTTTGTGATCCCACCACCAGACTGACAGCATAATCTTTTTTTGGTGAATCTCTGCTTTTCATACTGTTTGGGCTGTTTGATCTTGCTTCACCCACGATCTCTTGCGAGTAACATTGTTATAAACTATCCACTTTTCGTCGCCAGTAACTAGGTTCTTCAGAAATGGATCATTCTCATTCTCATTGCGTTTCAGTAGCGGCGAATCACAGATGTTAATCCGTTGCGTCAAATGAATTTCCTTTAACTGGTGAGGGATCCATAAATCAAGTTTCTTGACATAACCAAGGGTTTTTAATTTTTTTTCAATGCATGTATGCGACACATTGAGCTTCTCTGCAATATCTCGTGTTGTGCTGTGACGATTTGAATCGATAATGGCCTTGATATGAGTTTCATCCACTTCGACTGGGCGGCCAGATCGTTGTGAATTTTTCAGTGAAAAATCACCGGAACGAAATCTTTCAAACCAATTTCGACACTGCCTTTCTTTTAAGGCTTCATCTCCATATACGGCACATAACTTCTTTTGTGCTTGCGATGCGTTCTTGCCTTTTCGGAAGTAATACAATAAAATGAGTCGGAAGTGCACGTCCTGTTCTTTTATTTTTAAATTGGGATAAAAACAAAACTAAAGAACTAAACAAAAAAATTTTTTTACTAATTAACCTAGAAGCCCATAGAGTAAGAAAAAATATAGGTTAGATGCTCTGGCCACGTTAACAAAACAAAAGAAAGTATAGAGTGAATCTGTCAACAAAAACGGCAATGACTTAGTTGCCCACCCAATAGATATTACAAAATCGATGTTCATTAGTGCCTATTCAGTAATGGAATTTGCCAACCTCAGTGGTTAATTCCAATGAACAGAAAAGGTACTTGACTTCATGGCCCCAAGATACCTTCTTTTTACCTAATTTCCTTTGTGATGCACACTAAAGTTTCCAAGGAGCGCGTACCATTTCTGATTAAGACCCAACTGTTTCTATTCCCCCGTAATTTCAACAAATGAAGCTTGAAATCTAAAATGTTAATTTCTTGTGGGAGAACCTTAACTTCTCTAGTCTACTTGATCAAACGAACTTCATTACGCGTCGAATAAAGTGAGACTGAATGAAATGCTAACAGTAGATCTTGAAAGTGATTATTGCGGGTTAGCAGCGGGTTTCATTTCTTGCTCTAAGCTATAAAAGGCAAGTTTTCACTGTGAAGGCCGTTAAAGTGGCTTGACAGCTACCCGAAACGTTGATAACTCTATATCGATCAGCTTATTATCACGCTAGTAGTTTTTTTTTCATGCACAACGTGGGACGTAGGAATGAGTCAATAAAATGTGATCTTTCGTTTTTCTTTTGTAGAAATTCTATCACATGGCCTGCGTTATCTGGACAGTCTTCTTGAGGTGAGATTTACTCCCTATCTATTATGCTTAGGTGTACAACCCAATGTGGATAGATAGCTAGTGTTGAGCAGGGCGTATTGACTAAGCCACGATGCGGATTTGCGAGAGTGGAGGAGAGACGAGGGAATATTGCGAATAACAGCATACTGAACATTCAACAGTTCACAAAAAGTGTTGAGAGTGTTCAGCATGACCCTCGATATGCAACTCATCATGTCTCTTTTATCTTGGTGGGGGGTGGGTGGGTGGGTGGTCGATAAACTCGCCTGAACATGAAAGTGAAGGGGAGGAGGTTAAGTCATAGTGTCATGATGGCGCAACATCAACGTCCTTTCAAGGATAATGTGAATAGAGGGTAATTTTGGCTAGTGCTAGTCATCCTTATGTGAACAACACTCACACAGTAGAGCAGAATTGTAAATAATCGAATTATACTAATAATGTATTGAATAAATGACACTGGAAGCATGGATTAGAAGAGAGATTACATGCACAGGTCGGGGGGGGGGGCGAGTTTGGAGGGGCATTATCTGGTTCATCCCTGCTTATACAGAGGATGGAATGTATGCTTTGAGCTCCCAATATGAATATGGATAAATGACCTCATAATTGATGGCTTTTGGTGAATGGCGAGATTAGTGGGTCTGCAGAACGTAGGCAGTCGCGCGTTAAGTGAGGCGCATGACTAATTGCAATAATGAATTAAGAGAGAACAAAATACGCCTCGTGGGAATTAAAGTGGAGGCTTTTTGACAATTTACCTCATACTCTCTCTCTCTTTGTTTCATCGTAGTTGGAGCAGGAGGGAGAGGCTGAGGAGAAGTCAGATCAGTGTTATGAGCTCACGTCCAGTGTGGAGGAGGTTCAACCCGGCTGCCTTCCAAGAAAGTTAATTTGGGTGGACGGAATTCATGAAGAGGACGCTGACTCCTGGAGTATGACTCTAGGCCCCATCGAGGATACGCGCGCCTTTCTCTCGACTGATTCGTCTTCTGCTAAAGTTTCTCCGAAAAATCCTACTACCTGGGTGGATTATTTGGATAGAAGTTGGCCAACTAAAAACTAGTGAGTTAAATCCATCGTAGTTCAAAAAAATTTACTTTTATCGAGTCAGGAGGAAGTCAAGTTATTGATTGGGAGAAACGGCGTGTTTACCGGCTTAATGATTGAGGTCACAATTAATATAATCAGTCGGATACATGTTATTGTCAAAATCTTTTATAATCTCTTGCTACTTAAGGGTAAAAATCGGGCACGAGCTTAGAAAGAATTTATTTGACTATGTGAGTGGAAATGAAAATGGAATAGTTGGATGGAGGCATGAATAAAATTCACTCATTGGCTTTGTATCTTCAACTAAACTTTCCCATCCTCCGTGGTTTAAAATCAATTCTCGTCACCACTAGGTTACTGCTGATTTGGTGGGCAATTTATCTCCCTCACAAACGTTGAAGCTACTTCTTCACAGGTACGAGCATCTATAGACAAGGCATTTCTCGCGTCGTGGCGACAAATTCTCACTCTACTACTTCTTTTCAGTAGTTCTAATTTTAATCGATTTGGTTTTAATCGTTATTGACTTCGTTACAATTTCCTATTTTAAACTCGTGATATTTTTGTTATCTGCACGCTACCTAGTGCACCGGGTTAATTTAATTTTGGTACAGCACCACAAGATGATTCGTAGTATCTTTGTAGCGCTAAACGATATCCTTCTTGCATTGAAGAACGTTGATGGTACGTCAGCTTTTGGTTACTTCTCGATAATCTGCTGTAGGTGGAACACATGATTTAGTTACAGTGCGGAGTTCCACTGGTAGGAAAAAGCTCAAGCATTGTTATGCCGAGAATGGAACCCGCCGAAACCAGTGCCTGATAATTCGCGCCAGTCACGTTGTCAAAGAATCTGATCATTTTCCGACGAGAAAAACCTTTACTTAGGCCAGAATCACAACAGACAGGACCCGAATTAAGTCTGGAGTAAGTACTAATAGCGGCTATTTTAATCGCATTTTATTGGAAACAGTGCAATCTCCTTTTCCTTTAAATCCCTTACATTTTGCGGTTACTGGCCCATTTCTTAAGGACTTTAAAAATATCCATCTTATACATTTGACCACCGATTCTCTACTATCACCCGGTAGCCTCAGAATAAGCGTCCACTGTATATCAATCTTGCTTGTTTAAAGCGAAGAATAGTCACTTTCTTTCCTTCCTTTCAGTGATAAGAATTGCAAGGACTTGGTCACTGCAGTCAGTGAGGCGGCTTTATCTCAACTCACTGAAGCAGTGAAAAGTCGACAATCTATAACAACACTCACTCAAACCTGGCGCGATCGACTTAACGAGTGTCTCCAAGGTTTGACAACTCTAGAGGCAATACAGGCGGAATCAGATGAATGTCAGAAACCCTATCTAAGACTTACAATGAACCTCGCAGCAAAAAATTCCTGTTGATAAGAGATGACCTCGATAATATCTACAGTGTCTTTCAAAACTATAAAATAAATGTTAAGTCCCTCATGTTAAGGTTAATAAATTTATTTTAAAAAAGTGTATTTCTGTGACTAAGAGGGACAAGGGGTTATGAGTGCCGGGACATTGTTGGTCAACTCAGTTGGTGCATCGCAATACCGTTCTCAGGGTTTAAACGATACTGGTCATAAATCAAAAGGATGACTACAATGAAGCTAGATAAAACGATGAAATTACAATTAGTTCATGTACCGGAACTATGATTGCAAGGCACTTTCAATGGCGCTGGCTATTTTATTCATCTTCGTTTCGGTGTCAACATAGCCTTCTCCGTTTTTCTTGGAGAATACTAAGCCAACGCCATCAACTGTGACTTCAAACCAACCGGTCGCCTGAGGTGTGCCTTCTCCAGTCTAAACAAGAGACATTTAATTTGAATATATTATCATACCACAGCTATGTCACTGCCGAAGCGCTTGACCAGATCGGCTTTGAACCGGTTGAACTAGAACTATCAAAGGGTTAAGATATAACCTACTTTAGGCTCGTAGCCTCATGCACCACTAAACAGAATATTTATTTTAAAACATAAACTAACCAATAGACAACGTGAACTTTAAGAACCATTCGCAAGGAAGACGTAAATGACTTTCCTAATATCTGCAGCCACTTTCAGTTTGCTTAAACAGTTAAATGTAAAGTAACCTTATTGAACCAAAATGCAATAGCATATTCTGTCGAAGGAATAAGTACAATTTATTTTTTTTGAGATGGCTTAAATAAAGACCATTTATTATTCCAAACTTCCAGTATTAGCATTGAAAACTTAGATAGGAACCTAACAGAAACAATGGTTTAAATTTCAGAAAGTAGATTATTACGTGTTATAGTAAATTAAAGAAAAGTGAAAGATGAGCGTGTTTGTTTTATAATCAATTAAAAATTCTTCATTATGCCCAGTAGTACATTTGCATGCCAAAACTTACAGATCGTAAAATAAATACACAATTTGTCAAATCCGTTTTATGTTGCAAACGAAATTATCAAAATATATTTATTTGCCCTAATGATTTTTGAACACTAACATTCAATTAAATATGTTCTCGAAATCGTAATGTTCAGACTAATTGTAAGTAGATCATAAAAGTAAGTTTTAACCAAAATTTTTATTTTAGCTTTCTGATATTGGTTATATTGCATTCTTTATTATTGCGTAATAGACTAATAGCTTTGAGAATGAAATGTAATTGTATTCATTTGGTAAATATATAAAAATATTCTTTACAAATTAGACACATTTTCTTTAATAAAAATTGGTATTTATAAAAAATTTAGCTCTTTTTCCGCATTAAGTTATGATTACTCTTCTGTTGCGCTTTTTGCGGCTCTGTTATCAACAGCGCTGGTTAAGGTCAAATGTCCCAACAAGGTGCAGCTCTTCAGAACTATAATAATGAATTAGTTAAGTGTATGTTAACCATGTTTATTAATAATAAAATAGGTTTGGAAGATTTATGTAAGCGAAGAGAAGACATACAACGGCAAATTAGTGTCGACGAGGCGGAAAAGGTTAAACTCCAGAGAGATTTAGATCAAATGACAGAAAAGCTGAATAGAGTTCATGACAGCCTACAGAAAAAGCTTGTTCTATGTAATGAGCTCGATCGAACAATCGCAGAATCTGAAGCAGCTTATATGAAGGTATTTTGTTTGAATCTACATTAGTTTAAATTGTTCAGATCCTTGAAAGTTCTCAAGCTCTGCTGTGTGTCTTGAAAAAGGAAGGCCAGGGAATAATTCAACGTGCCGCAGCAAAGAATGTTCCATTTTAAAGCAGACTAATTCACTGTGAACTCGACATTCCTTTACTATATATGTATATATTCATGTGAATAATTTGCAATTCAAGCACTATAAAATCTACTCTTTTCCGTTATTATTTATTCTTATTTAAAGATATAAATAACATAAGAACGTTTGGGAATCAACTTGGGGGGGGGGGGATTTTAGTGTTACATTTATATAACTGGCATATTTTTATAATCCCAAATAACTTTTGATTTGTTTGAAATGAACCCAGCTCGTTTGTCATTTATGTTGGAATGGATATTGTTCTTTAAGATTCCCATTTTTGTAATTTTGTTAAAAATTTAACCCCTTGAGTCTCGATTTTTCAGTTTATTAATGTTTTTGAAGTTAGAGTTCCAACCAAAGCTCCATATTTTTCGGGGATGGTCGGTGTGTTCTCTTAATCTGTTAAATTTCCAAATAATTCTGAAAATTGACATTAAATTCCGTCGATAGGTATAGTTTATAGATCTGATCTACTTTGATTAGAAGTTATCACGGGCATATTAGATCGCCGTAAGTAATAAAGGAGAGAGAATAGAATGGAAACAAAAATTTTGCAGGCCATGGAATAACCAAAAGCATAACATACGTGAAAATGTTTTTTTTATCAATAGGGTAAATTATGGTCCATTAAGTTGGATTGACTTTTTTCGTTCCTTTGATGAGCGACACAAAATCTTTATCTGAAAATGTATGGCGAGCAGAAATTGGCTGTTATTATTGTGTTGTCACTCTCTAATCGGGCTTATTTAATTGCTTTGTCAATGGAATGGAGAAATACCACTTGAGGGTAGCTTTTCTCTATTACCAAATAGTTTTAATTTATTTAACACATACATGAATGAACGACATTTATAAGTGCCTGGTATATGCATAACTGTGTGGGAAATATTTATTTTCACTCGATGTACTAATATCTCCACTTCCACGCGCATGTAGTGCATCCAGGTTGCCACGATGTAGGTTAAATTTGAAATTTATTTAGTCTGATTATGCTGAGTGAGGTCACATCGATAAAATCGAGGGTGTCAGAGAAGTTGGGGTCATGCTTGTTACCACTCCTTCCCCCCCCC